AACATTGATGGTGAACACCGGGATCTGGGTACCATTGGGTAGGATGACGGAGGCCTTCGCAACAGCCTTGATGGTGACGTTAACGGCATCAGGCTGGATGGAAAAATTTGGAGCCTCTTGGGCATAAACCAGAACACTCATCAGCATATCTGGATACATCTCGGCAAGCTGCAAAGTGAACAAGTAACAAGTGTAAACACTTTATTCTTGACTGTATCGAACTTAAAGAGAAAGTAGTATAAATTAAGCAAACTACTGCTAAGTAAGTGAGGTAACGGAGTCCTGATGAAACCAAATGAGTCCCAGATGAAGATAAAGACACAAAGCTAATCATATGAACTGAATTAAAGTGGGGGTTTTTTAATACGTGCAAAGACAAAACACACAAGAGGCCACAGAGTGTTTCATCGACTTCTCCCGGAGGTCATACTAGAAAAGGGATGTTTACCTAAGTACTTGAGACAGGCATGGAAGACATACTTCCTCTCTTAGCCCATTTGTAAAATACTTTCACTTCCACGATAGCAAAACTTAGCTGTCTTGATTTTTTAAATAGTTTTTGTGACTAGTTATCGGCATAGTGTATGTTTGTTTTTCAAGCTGGTTGGTTTTATCATGCTTGTCATTTTGTATGCAAAGATATTTTAACATATCTGTTAAAACATCTTTGTATACAAGCTTCTGAATGAATGACAAATGTAACGTGATCGTTGGTGTTAGACGGATCGGTCTGAGGATTTCATAAACTGCTGATCTGCAGGGATTTTCCAGCGTAACCATGTCGAGGATTTACGTGAATGAGGTGAAAAAATGGTCGGAAAAAGAGGAAATATCCAGTGAACAGAGAACAGTGAACTGTCCTCACAGTCACCCAACAGAACTGTTGGGTTTAACACTTAAACCCCGCTGACTCAGAGACCAATCACTTGTGTACAAAAGCAAGACCACAGCGCTTTCTGTCTTTTACTTGCTGCAAGGGGAGATCTTCTCTGATCTGATCTTAGCCCAACTCCAACTCCCGCCTTCCTTCGCAGCTAAAACACTCATATGTGAACATGCGTCGTGTGTGTCTGCAACAGTGAACATGTGATGTGTGTGTGAATGTGTGTGTGTGTCTGTGAGCATGTCAGTGATATGTGAGTGTAGGTGACACACAAAATTAACTCTATACATTTTAATTTTATTTTAGTTGGGTTTAAAAATGTTTACAAAATTAGCTTATAAGTTTTTTTATGTTAGCCTAGTAAAATCTTTTTCTAGCTTTAATTTTTCATTTCGTTTTATTTAACCATATCAACCTTGGTCAGGGTGCTTTGAAAACATTAAACGTGAAAACGAATTGAAAAATAAATCTGAGCGAATGCAATGATGTTTGAAGTATCGTTGTTTTGCAGGGTGAACATCATCATGTAGTGTTTCTGGGATTACTTTTCAGTGTTGCCAAATGTAACCCTGACACAAACAGACTTACCTTTGGAATGAATTTTCCCAATGAGGTGGTATTCAAGTGCACTGGAGATATCGCAGGGATCTGAGAGGATAAAATAACGTCTCTTAACCACACACTTCACCTCAAACTTGAACTGTTTTGCTTTTAACTGTCTTTTATTTTTAGTATGTGTGTTCACTTACCATGCTGTCATTGATGAGGAGCTGAAGCAATTTAGCTGAGAAGTATGCATAGGAAGCAGAGTTCAGAGTGAAATCAGACATGCCCACTGACAGCATGTAGCTCGGCTCGTCCGGCATGGTGAAAGGCTGGGCCTCAAAGGGAGGCTCGACCGGAGCTTTGATATTGTAAAACTCCCCCTTTAATTAAAAAAATTGATCAAATAAAACGAAATATCATTATTTTGAAATTCTTATTCCTTTCTCAATGTTTTTTCATAAGCTTTCATTATAAAATATAGTTGCATATGTTGGCTTGTAGATGGACTGTTATGAGAAGCCCGGGACATTAACATAGAAACTGGAAAATGTGTATCCTTACCTTAAGGCCCACATTCATACTTGAAGCACCGATGATAGGGATGTCAGTGAGAGGAAGGGCAAGAGAGAGAACTTCATTCACATCGACTGAAACTGAGCAGAGTGAGAAAAAAGCCTTATTCCTTTATACATTTAAAATGCTGTTATTTTATTATTCTGTTCACTAATTTGTGGCCCACAGTTTTCCTCTTTGTAATTAGGAGCTGCAGTACCGTTCATGACATGCAGGAGGTTCTCAAAGCTTTCAATGTTTTCTTCCACACCGGGACACAGCTAGGGAGAAAACACAGCAAAGTCCTGGTGTTTTAACAGCACATTTCAGTGAACATTATGTGACGATCATACAGAAAAGCTCAAGCATCCACTAACACATGCGATGAAGCTGTAGAGAAGCACTCACTCTTTTCTGTATTTCATCTCTTATCCGTCCCTTGAAGTGTTCCACAAACGGTTGGAAGATGAAACTGTTCACAAATAGAAAGCCAAGGTTTACATCATACATGAAATCCCCACCACCTCCCCGTGTCTCCCTCTTTCTGCTCTACTGTACCTTGCTCCACCATGAAATTCTATGTCCACATCTCCAACCTGAGCGTCACAGCTGATGCTGCTGACAGACAGATGCCCGTCAGCTTCTTTCCCCAGCTGCACCACAGAGGTCACATCTACGTTAAATATAGCCATATCAAACGTCCCGCCATCGTTTCTGGATATACAAAATACAAACACAGTGCATTGTTGGTGCTGGTGAACACTTATTCACACAACATCTGCTTTCAAAGGCGCTGAAACATCTGTCACTTGTGCATATGTGGCGTATCTTACAACAGGCATCTGATAGAGTTTACAAATTAGGTCTCATGTTTAATATAGATGTGAAATGTTCCCTCTTTACTTCCCTGCTTAGAGAACATTCAAATGTGTTACATGGAAACTAAGTTTGGAAAAGCATCAGTAGATTAAAGCTGTAATTAATATTTGGGTTTAGTGCTGTAAGTTACTCTAACCCCCTGTTGTTAGATGATAAAACAGAAAATATCACAGGTTTTGTAAACAGCTTAAAATACAGGTGATAAGCTTTCAGGTTTAACATAACTCAGATGCCAGCTGTGTTAGAAAAGGCGAGCGGAACCTCACCTCGCCAGAGACTATCTTTAAAAAAACACTATAGCTTCAAACACTTACTATCACTATCACTAACACTTCCTCATTTATACTTCACGTCTGCTTCTGTACATTACAGATTTAAATCACACTATAGTCAGTGGTTTTTAAAAAAAAAGGATGTGTTAAAAGGGATGATCAGATTGTCTCACGTGTTTTATTTTTTTGTTTTTTGGATGATGATTTGTTTTGTACCCAAATGGAACATGTTAAGAAATTACACCCTATAATCCTACTGTACAAAAGCTTGTATTTTACACATAGAAAACTCACATTAAGCCAAAATGTGTTCTCCACCCGCCTGTTATTGCAATAGAGAGGTCTGAGATGGTTGTCTTGAATCCTGGGGGATTCTGAAGGAACTCGACAGAAGGCTCTGGTAAGTCACATTTTACTATGGTGATGCTAGAACGCAAAGGGAGAGCAGAGACAAACCAGAGGTTACAAAGCTGAGGAATATCAGTCATGTGAGTGAAATAAAGACTCCTGCTGGCTAACATGCATGTGCTGAAATTTTCATAACAAATGCTGATTCCTTCTATAGAGGATATTTTAGATTCTTAGATTTTGTACTTGTAGAACATGGAATGCGATCCTACCCTGTTAGAGTGTAGTCAACGTCCCCGAATACGATGTGAACACTGCCGGTGATGTCAGGGAAAGTGATTGTACTCAACCTTTCCTGAATCCAGTCTGCAGCTGCATGCTTCCCTGGGACAAACAGCACTTGCATAAAATTTCAGTTGTTGTGAATAAAACTGATCATTTATTAACAGACTTGTGTTTACACAACCTTAACAGCTAAGTGAAAACAAGCGCCGATCCCACATATCCTTACCGTACTGAAGCCCCTTGTTGGTCAGGACAACTTGCACTGCAGGATTTTCTCCACAAACGCAGGAGAGGAGGCTGAGCACTACTGTCACAGATAGAAGCATTTTCCTCTGCCGTTTGTGGTGCAAACAAACAGTGCTGCTGTCAAAGACATTTACATTTTGGTGTGGGAAAGTAAACTCTCAACTCAAACGTGCACAGCAAACCTGTTGAGATAAATCACACAGGTATCATACCTGAAATGCGGGATGAACTTGCCAAATTCAGCTCTTCAGAGTTGCTCAGCATGTGCAAACATGTCGCCTCAGCCTCTCCGCGCTGTTTTTCTTCTTTAATTTCCTGTGTCACTGAGAAGTGAAACTCACAGACATCTAACAATACCCCGGGCCCCTCCTGCAGTCGTTCTCTGTTTATGTCGGTGTGACAAAGAGGAAGCAGTTGTTTGATTCTGCCCTGTCTGCATTGAACACATGGGTGGTATCACTTCTAAGAAAACCAATTTAGTTAAGCCAAATAGGACTGATGAGCAGAAAGAAAATTTCCCCTCCATCTGCACTGGAAGCACAGCAGCCATAACCAGTAATTTTTGGAGGTAGATTAAAAGTATTCTTTAAAACAAAAAAGTCACTGTACCAACATCCTCATTCTCAGAATAAATGCAAATCATAGCTGTATGCTTATAAAAGGAAGTGAAATTTATCTGTTTACTTTTAGATTATTTAACTTTTTTAAAGTTAAACAGCAATTGTGCTCAGATTGATCACATCTACAATAGGATTAATAACAAATGTGCTATGTTTTCCCACTGTTTGCCACTTGCAGTTTTATAGGTTTATGCTGTCTGTCATGAACTGATTATACTGGAAAATGTAGAAATGTACCTCCACCCCACTTTCAGTGCCTCCACTTCACATTGTGAAAAGGCGAAGTGGCAACAACTTATTCTTAATGAGGAAGTTTAGCAGAGGTTAAGCTAAATAAAGAAGAGAAAAGGTAAGAAAAGATTGAAATCACCAGCCATAAAATATCTCATTTATTTATCTCTTGATTCAACAAATACTCTTTTGTCTCACATACCATGATTAGTTCCATTAATTCACAACTGACAAGTTCAATAGGAACAGAATATTATCAGACATTTTTTTTTGTTCTCCATATATAACACAGTTAGGACCCACTTGCTTGCACTTGAATTCACGTCATCCAGAATGACACTTGAAACACCAAGAAAACAAACAGCAAGGACTACTATAGGCATAAAATGAAAAGAAACAACAAAAAAAGAAACACAAAACCAAAAACCGACTGGAAAAAAAAATCATTCTGTTCAAACCACTACACACAAGTTATTCATGGTTTATGGTGCACCATCTGATCGGATGGGTGCTTTAGTCTTGTATTTTCTCTGAAGTGGGGGGGATACTGATATCTAGCAGTTCAACAAACCAGCAAGAACATAATCACTCCATTGTTTTTCCACATATTTCATTCCCCAGATATAAACACTACACGCACACAGTTAGACCCGTGTCGGGCTTTTTAACTGGATCTTTGCATGAAGACTGACACTTGACAGGCTTTTTAAAATGCCTGCATATTCATTCACCCCCTATCATGCAGGAGGTTGTGTTCCTCTGTCCAGTTAAAGAAACACGTTTTCTGGAATGAGTAGACTACTTTACACTATGACTGTAGAGTTTATTATTGCACATTATCACGAAGGCAAAAATAATAAAATAAAAAAAGATGTACAATTCACACAAATAATCCTCCTCAAGAGATTATGCCAAGTCCTCAGTGCGGTGTTTTCGTCAGGAGTGCGTTATTTTAGGACAATTGCCCTTCACAGGCCCTCTCTGAAGTTCTCAGTCGTGGATGTCATACCTGAACGCCTCTATGAGACCTTCAATGGAATGGATGAAGCCAGATATGGCACATATGCCCCCAATGATGAAAATGGAAACGTCGAAGAAGACGTGGTGCCACAGGAGGTTTCTCCATTGGAGCTTTAGGTGGAAGAGGCTTGGCAAGAGGAAGCACAGGCCAGCACCGGTGAGGCTCCCAGTTAAGCCCATAAGAAGGGCGAAATGGGGGACAAAGACAGCCATAAGCAAGGTAAAGACCACCAGGGCGACTCTGAGGCCCAGGCCCCATGATTTCAACTGCCCTCCGGGGCCGTAGCAGTCTGGAAAGAGGGCTCTCCCGCCATCCTGGAACAAAGATTTCTCTAGAACTTCAACTGCAGCAAAGAACGGCAGAGGGTAAGAAAGCAACGCCTTGGAGACGAGGAAGAGATTCACCACAGCCCGGATAGTTGAAGGCAGGTTATCCGTGATGACCTCTTTGGTGGCATCTGCCCATGTCAAGTAGGCCACCAAGGCGAAGAGGCCCTTGAGCACGCAGGCCGCAATGTGAGTCCAGTCCATCATACAGTGGAACTCGCTGGGCTTCTGCATGTTTCCTTCCAGCGATGGGAGGAAGATCTGGGAGGTGTAGCTGAACACGATGATGCCGATGGAAATGGGGAATTTCTTCACATCGATGTAAAACTTGACCTTCTCCCAGGCCCACTCTCGAGCCCTGGAGAGGCAGTAGGCAATCACCAGGATGTTGATGACGAAGTGGGCCAGCGTGCAGAGCAAGCTGAACTTGGACACGGCCTTGAGGTTCTTCAGGAACGCGCATGGCAGGAGCGCGGCCGTGGCCACCACAGACCAGGCTTTCTGTGAAACCGGAAACCCCGGGAAGCTGTTGTACATCAGGTTTCCGCTGACCACCACGTAAAGAATGCACGTCATGACCAGCTCGATGATCTGAGCCACGTTCACGACGTGGCCACCCAGGGCCGGGAAGCGGGGCGCGCAGCAGGCGTTCGCGATGTCCACGTAAGAGTCCCTCACGCGCACTTTAATGCCGTCCTCGTTCTCTTCGTACAGACACGCGATGAGGATTTTGCCAGTGTAGCAGCACACCACAGCCGCGAAGATGATGAGGAAGAGGCCGAGGTAGCCGCCGTGGAGGATGGCGTACGGCAGGCCGAGGACAAACATGCCCTGCGGAAAGAGAAGCGCAGTTAAATGGTAATGGACGAGACCCACATCGCAGTGACAGGCCGAGCTAACCCAGGCATGCAAGGACCAGCTCGTCTTATATAATAACAGCCTAAATTTGTATTTAAAAATAACGCAACAGGAAAAATTGTCACCACGGATTATTTTAAATTAAACTGCAATAATATGTCCGATACCTGATCTGTACTAAATAATAGATCGAATTAAAGCATTTAAGGAAAATTCCAAAACGAATTTTCAAATTCATTTGATTGAGCTTTTTAATTTGATGGAGGCTCTGATAAGCACGTGGGTGCTATTCAGCCTCCAGGCTATCAAAGTCAAGCAGATCCCGCCTGCAGCTCCACTGATAAAAAGATTTGAATAAATACATTTTAAGACCCACGCACTGCAACGGATTTACGCTCAAACCACGAATTCGAGGTGAAGCCGAAGCTTGGAGCTAACTGATAAAATGTAGCTTAACGGGCCCTTTACATTTGAAACCTTTTATAGTTTCATCGCACAAAATTAAAGGTGACTAACTCTAATTTTGGCTTGTGTGGAATTATTTGGATACCATGAGCATCATCCTATTTTCCAGCTTAAATATTAAATGTGAAAATATGAAGTCTTCAAGGTGACTTTATGTGCGGTTGCAGGCCTAATATGGCCGTGCAGCACATGGTACTTTTGCACTCACGCGTGCAGGATGACAGTAATCACGGCCTACCTGAATGGCGTTGGTGACGTTCCAGCCAGCTTCCCATGACGTGATTTTTGGCTTGTCTTCTTCCAGAGAGCCTGCTGTCTTCAGGGACGAGGGCCTCGGCCCGGTGCCGTCTCTCTGGTAGTGGCTGTCTCCCTCCAGCTCCCCATCTCCCTCCATCTGCCCCCCTTCCTCTTCTCCTTGAAGGACATCCATCTGCATACCTTGCCTGTAGTCATAATCCAAGTCGTCGCACTCCGCGAAACCCAAACCCTCCTCGTCCGTAGCGGCCTGGAAGCCCAGTCTGGCGAACACCCCACTGACCTTGGCCTGAGATTTGTTGGACACCGTGTGGGCCGCATTGGTCAGTTTGTTGGTGAGCTTGTGTCGGATTAGGTGAGCCATCTCTTTCGGAAAGAAAATCCGTTCTACAGTTAAATAGGACGCGTAAAAAGCGCAGATTCAGGTGTATGCAGGACAATTTCTTTGATTGTTTTACTTTTTTTACCCCCTACAGTGAAACCATGCCTGTTGCCTCTTCGATGTGACTGCAAAATAAACTAACCAGCATTCTAACGGCTGCCTAACCGATTTACTCAAAGCTTAAAAAATATCCTCAGCTGCTTTTCTTGGCTTGTTTATCCATATTACCTCCCTTAATAAAAACACTCCTTGGCATCTGCCTCAACGAAGAAGCGCCTGAGATCAGACACAAAACGAAAAAATATTTCCATTCGTCGTTAAAAATGTCAATTTTGCATTTTTTCCTCCCCACATACACAAAGCAATCCTCTCAGTTTGGAGTCTTGTAGGCGACAACGTGAGCGCAGGAATCTCCGCACCACCCAGAGAGGGAGAGAGGGAGCGAGAGGGGCGTGCACGTGTCCGCACAGAGTGCCAGTGTAAGGCTCGCGCGCAGCAGAACCGTCACGGGTGGCGTGGAGAGACATAGATAGAGAGAGAGGGAGAGAGAGAGAGATCTCATCTGGGGTTGACCGACCGAACAATCACGAAAATAAAAGCGTTCAGGCCATTTAAATACATCAGTGTCACAGAAGTTTGACATCACGCATGAATGAAAACACCAGACATTTCACCTGCTCATCCCGTCAACAGGTCCACGGACACCGATACCAACAAACGGCGGGTGTGATGTGATGAAACAAACCTCCACCCTTTATCCAAACCTGCTGTGTGGCTGTGTAAAAATAACTGAACTGGAAAGGCTATTTTTGAGTTTCCGAGTGCTCGTCTGGACGTCTGGAATACCTCAAATACGCCGATATGACAAATAAACAATGTCGTCTACAAAGGCGTGAATAATCGCGATATTCTTCTTTAAAAAAGAAATTAAATAAAAAAAATTCTCTTCCAACACTTGAAATCTATCCTAATTTTGTGAAATGAAGCACGATGACTGCGCCATATCTCGCTATATCAATCGACACAGCGCACAGCGAATTTTCTCTGTTTTCTGTAAAAGACAAAAGGCCCCAGCGTGCCACCTTTAAAAATTTTTATGGTCCTACATAAAACATGTTTTGTTAACAACAAAAAATATCGATGAATATTACACATTTCCATGTGTAATATTTTATGTAATGAAAACAGAAGAGGTGAGAGAAACGAAGCATGTTAATTTGGGGCAAATATTGAAATGAGTCAAACTTAAATTTATCTCATGGTTTATTTGTGTGTTACGTGCACGCACACAGCAACAGACTTTGCATTTCCTGCCAGCAGCTCTACTCCAGATGAGCGTGATCAGCAGGTTGGGGGAAGGATGCAACTCGTTGCGCATCCTGCTGCAGGCCAGTTGCTGAATGCGCACCACGGACAGTTCCGAGGACAGCTCCGCGGACAGCTCCACAATCACACAGAAAATATGTACCAAAGAAGCAGTCGTTAAAATGCAACACAACACGGGCAACATCGAATCTATACAATAATTATTTTCTCTCGTTGAGCTGCTTTCATCTAAAAACGACATTGAAAATCTCAGTTTAAGGGAATATTTCTTCTCCACCTCAGATGTGATCAAGCGCCCTTAGGCGACTGTTGTTGTGATTTGGCGCTGTATAAATAAAATTGAATTGAATTGAATCCTTGCGAATACGAAGCATCTCATTTGTCCCTCCGTAATTTGCTGTGACAAGACAGCAAAACTGTCATCACATTTTTGCCTCTGTGGCAAAAACGTAGCCCTCCGTGGCAGGAAGGCTGAAAAATACAGACATTCTCCCTGAGCTGTGATTTTTGAGCTTCTAAAATATGAACAATCTTTGTGACGCCTGTTTACAACTGTGATTAAATTGATTGCAATTGTGATGATCTGAAAAGAACAAACCATTGCGAAACACAGGCCCAAATGTTTTAACGAGCATCATTACAAGAAAAAAAAAAAAAAAAAACGGGCGAGAGATCTAAATTTAGAAACGAGCCAGAGGACAGTAAAAGTTCCGCATATTTTCATGCTTGGCTTGAGCTGCTTTGCCAGCTGCTATTTGTGTTCAGGCCAACACAGTTTTTGTTAGTGAGTGTGTGTCATCATGTCTGAGTGTGTGTGTGTGTAGGACGGTGAGGAGCTGGGATGAGACCTTGAGGCGCTTCTCCCTCCCCCCATGACACGCGCAGTCCCCGGGCTAACGCCGGGACAGGATCGCTGCAAATGTCACACACACGGGCGCGCACACCACTGCAAACACGCAGCTCTGGTACATTCAGCTCCATCCGACATAAAAACTCGCTGCTTCCACTCGAAAATAATATCAGTAACAGTGAAACAGATTAAAAAGGGAAATAAAAGTGATAAAATAAAAGCCCGGATTAAATCCTGTCGAACAGAATAGATTTATATTTCGCTTCCCCTTGAAGAAAATAAATCGATTTTCAGTTTGACTTTTTTTTTCTTTCAAACTGAGCTACTTTAGCACTGGCTTCTGGGGCGAGCAGTATAGCTTCCAGGCTACAAAGAGAAGGATTAATTCAGACTCCGTGTGTGTGTGTGTGTAGGCCTGAAATAGGAGAGGCTCACAGCCCCGTCTAACAGCCGTGCAGTGCTGACTGGGAGCAATAATCTCTGATAGTTGCCATGGCCACAGTAATTGGACAGGGTGTGCGCGCGTGTGCTTTGAGATTTCGGAGAAAAGAGTTTTTGTTTCAGCACCGGTCGGGGTTTTTTTTTTCTGTCTGAAGGCTTAAATCGAACCTTTCCCTTCATTAATGTATAAATTAAAGCTGCACTGTTGAGAAACAAACAGACATTTTTATATGCAGCTGCATAAACCCATATCAAGCAACACCGATCCACTGATTAGTTAAATACAAATCATAAAATTGAGGGGGAAAAAAATCAGAAATAAACACAAAAAAATCATGAATATTATTAATATGTGACTGTAAATATATTTTATTGTAAATCCAGTGTCTCACATGTTGTTTCGAGTCCACCTCGGGTAAGTAGAGGAGTGAGGGAATATAGGCAGTGGATCAAACCACTGTGAGGCGTTTCATGGGGAGGTCAAACGGCATTGTTGGTATAATTAGCACATAAGATTTCAGTGCATTTTATTTTATTTTGTAACATTGTGGATTTCATTGCTCACAATGATGATTTGCAGCAATGGAGGCGAAAAATACAGTTTCACTGTTTGTGTTTTTTGTTTTTTTTTGTCCCCCCCAAAAGTCGGATCTTGTTCCCTTCTATGACTGTAATTTCTGCACATGGCTCCACTAAAAATTACATTCATTACTACTTGATTTTGTTACACACCTCACTTAAACCCCAGCAGCCCACTCATGCTTATATCAAGGTTTTTATTCTACAATGACACACTGGCAGATTCGTCTGAAAGAACAGAGTTTGCTGCAGTTATTCGACCACACTATTTTGGCCTGTGTGGAAATACAAAGTTGGATGGGCCTATCGTGACTAATTCTGGTGGCTGTGAATGAACAGGTGCTTTTCAGGGCGGGGTTTGTGAATGAGCACGTCCTTCTACAGCTTTGCTCAACCGGATGAGAAGTTGGATTAGCCAGGCTAGTGAGAACACCTGTATGGCTGGAAGGCCCAAACGTGTATTATTTTTCTTAAATACCCAGCGGATGAAATAACCAATAACAAATTAAAATTTTAGAAATACCCTTTTTCACAGTCTCTCTCTCTCATACACACATATCTGATGCATGGATAGTGACAGGTGCACAAACACAGTCATCACTCTGTGGCCCAAAAAGATCTGCTAGGCTTACAGGGCCAGGCACTGAAGAGAGCGGTAGTGACAAACCCTGTGTGTGTGTGTTTTGGTATGTGATGAGAGAGAGAGAGACAGAGAGACAAAGGAGTGCAGTTTACTGTGTATGCGTCTCAGCGTGTGTGCTTGAATGCGCAGACGTGACAGGGCGCAGAGGAGAGTCACAGAGGTTGCAGCGTGCCTCTGCTATATCAGAAGTGTTCAGAGTCAGAGTCGTTACATAAACTGGTCTCTCTTCCTGCTTTCTTCGTTTCTTAACACTACCACAAACGCAGCAGTTACTGACAGTATTATCTGATTTGCTCTAATCGCAGTAATTCTTTCCCAAACCTTATCCTCAGCCGAATCTTATCCCAACCTTAAACCGAGTTTTCAATCAGAAATCTAGTTACATTACATTTGATTTGATCTCAAAATACGCGAAGACACATGACTCTGTCCAAACCAGTGCAAACGAACATTTTTAAATACTGTAGTAATTTAAAATGTATATACTACATTCTGTAGTATGGATTATAAACCATCCAACTAGGGGTTCACTGGAAATCACTGAAAATGTGTGTGTGTGTGATCAAATGATCAGTTAAACAGGTCTGTAAAATGACGGTTTTCAGCGAGTAACACTCGAATTTAAAAAAGAAAAGAGAAAAAAGAGAAAAAAAGAAAAAACAAATGAGGAAAAATGCACTTATTGGCTTTGGCACTGCTGCAGGCTTCTTAATTGTGCTCCTGCCATAAATGACACAAACCTAAACAAACGACCAAGGATGGTTAAAGCTGCCTCCTCAATTACAAAAAGAAAAGTGATAAAAGGAGGGATGTCTCCTAATTCCGTGCTGATGTGGGCCAAAAGAAAGTTCTGTGTTGCCATGACAACGGAATTAAAATGAGTTCAGAATGCTGTGACTCACGGTCACACACTTAATCCACACTGACGGATGTTTTTCCTCCCAAAACTGTGTGCGGGGGGAAAAAAACAAAAATATTCTGAAGGAGAAACTGTGTCCTGCTGTAAGGAGGTGAAGCCCTGCCCATTACCCACTACCCACTGACTAACTGCATCTCATCATAGTGAGACTTATCGTCGCTGATAAATCACCGATGTATTCATAAACATTTTTAATGAAACAGGGCCTTTATAACACGCCCCCTCCCTTTCAGTGGGGACTGTCTGTTCATTCTTCCACAAAATGGAGGCTGCCTGGCATCACGCGTGGCACTCCCATAGTGCTTGTAGCCTATCAGTTGCCCCCTCCTCATCACTGCTGCCTGGATGACAAGCACAACAAGCATAAAGCTGCAAGCGCTGTGCACAGACAGCAGCACAAAGTCACGTCTCGCCTCCTAGGAGGAATGGACGCCTGTGTGTGTGTGTGTGTGTGTGTGTGTGTGTGTGTGTGTGTGTGTGTGTGTGTGTGTGTGTGTGTGTGTGTGTGTGTGTGTGTGTTTTTGAAAGGACAGAATGTAGGAAGGGGATGAATTTTTCTCTGTGTGTGGATAGTATGGATGCGGTTGTGTGTGTTTGTGTCTTACCAGTGGTATGTAGTCATGTGTGTGTGTGTGTGTCTGAGAGGGTGATGTGACCCAGATCTGCTTATTAGCATCAGGAGGAAGGGGCGGCAGTCACTTAGAGCTTTGTGCCTGAGCAGTGAACTGTGCTCGTGCTTTAGTGACACACCATCATACTGTAACCCCCCCACCTCTCTCTCTCTCTCT